GCTGCCTTCCTCCCCATCACCTATATCTGGCATTTCTCCCCATGCTATCTCTCCCCAACTCCCCACCCCTCACTGTCCCTCCCTTATTTCCCCCGAACAGACCCCAGTGTGTGATGCTCCCCTCCCTGTGTCCATGTGTTCTCATTGTTCAACACCACCTATGAGTGAGAACATGCGGTGTTTGATTTTCTAAACATTCTTTTATTCTTTGCATCTTTGAGAAGCCTAATGGTCTTCTTTGTGATTCTCTTTTTCACCCCCGTTAGCTGTGTTTAATATCCAAAGAGTCAAGGCAATCAAGCAGACTTTGAAATGCATTCTCCAGACTTATGCATCCTTTTCTTTTTGCTGTTTCATTTCAAGTACAATCATCCTCCAGGTCATCCAGGCTTAATATCTTACATTATGTTTGACACTATATTCCCCTTTGCCTCAATAAATAGTGGGTTGCCCATTTCTCTTGATTCAGCATTTTCTTTCCTGTATCCCCATGAATGAATTATCCCCTCTCACTATATTAGTTGTATCTCCTTTGCCTTTTCTCTATAGCTTTATTTTTTTTTCTTCCATCCAAGAAATATTTACCAAGTGCTTTCTGTGTGCCAGGACACTGCTAATGCCAATGTAACAGAAATGATTGAGAAAACCCATGGTTGTCACAGAGCCTGAAATCTAGAGGGAAGACATGATTAACAAGCAGGGACAGTGTGCTAAGCCACAGGGGAGGCATGTTCTTCCTAGAGGAAGGGATATTTGGGCTGAGGCTTGAAGTGGGTGAACAGGAGAAAGCCAGGTACAAGTCAGACAGGGGTTGTGTAAGGAACATCCGGCCAGAAGAGACAGCAAATGCAAGGACCGCAGGGATCAGGTACGAGGAAGTAATGATATCGCAGAGATCAGTTCCAGTGTGAAGGCCCTTGCTAGCCATCTTAAATAATTTTGACCTTTTCCTAAGAGTATTTAGAGCCACTGAAATGTTCTAAGCAGGGCAGTGAGATGTTGAGAAGCATCCCATCAGTTGCCATTTGGGAACTGAAATGAGGGCCACTGGAATGAGAAAAAGAAAAACGTTTGGTGGGAAAGAAGAACTTAGTTTTTTTCTAGTTTCATCTGGTTCTCTCACCTTCAGTCTCTCCCTTTTCCATAGCCCACCCTATGCTCTTTCGTGCTGCAGCCGGATGGACTTCCTGGTGCACACACTGCTTATCTCAACTGAGAGAATTTAAATGCCATGTGTAATGCTCCTGGAATAAACTCTGAATTCTCCACCCTATTGTTCAAAGCTTACCATGATCTCGTACCATCTCTGTTTTAAAGCTTTCTTTACACAATTCCTCTTGTCTTCCTGGCTGTAACCATACAGTCCACACTCCGGAACCTTCCCACAGCATGCTTTTGTCCTGGGTTCCCTCCGTCTTTCTTCTTTGCCTGAATGAACACTTAAGCCTGTTCCCCCTTCCGTTCTTGCTCAGATGTCAGCCCTTCCAGGATAATTTCACTTGTTTCCACTGCCAGTAATTTCCTTTTCCTCTGAAATCCTCATTCTAATGCAATTTACAAGGTGATGACATTCATCATCTCCCCCACACAGTAGAGCCAGTTAGGAGGCAGGACGGCATCATTGTTCTCACAGTTCTCGGGAACACCAACTCCAGAACCAAACTGCCTGGATTCAGATCCCAGCTCTGACGGCTCCTAGTGTGTAATACTGGGCACATCGCTTAAATGATCTGTACTCTGTTTCTCTTCAGTAAAATCATAGTCTTTATTTTCTAAGGAAGGTATTGTGAGGATTAAATGAGTAAATGAATGCAAATATGCTTAATTTCATGTCTAGCATGTAGTAAGAGCTTAAAATCATATTTATCACTTACTTGTAATATTCACTCTTTGAAATTATAACTTTTTTGAGGACCTAATCCACATCTGATGTTTTTTAATGGCTTCCAAATCCTTTGCTGCCTAACAATGGATAAATAAAATATGGAATATGTGAAATAGGATACCAATGATTAGAAAGCCCTAATCAATTTTCAAATACTTTGTTTTGAGAGTAACATTTTTCTTTTAAAATTGACTAAAATAGATCATTGAGCAAATATTTAATAAGTATAAACTTTGGTTTGTAAACTACATAGACTATACTGAGGAACAGGCCCTTCTTCAATTTTACATTTAATTCAGAGAGGCACCCATACAGATAACTACAATATAAGATGCAGTAGAAAAAGCATATCATCTAAAAGTCATAGTAGGAATTCAAAAGAAGGGGTGGCTGGGGTGAGCAGAAAATAATTTGTTGAAATTTTTAGAACAAAGCACAGGTAAGTCAACTCTCCTAATGTTAGCCAAAACTTACTGAATCCTAACTGTACCCGGCACAGTGTTTCACTGCTTACCACACACTATCACATTTCAGCCTCAGTATATTTCCAAAATGAAGTATTTTGTTGCTGTACCCATTTTGCAAATGGGACAGCTGAGGTATAGCAAGGCAATATGAAATAAATTGTAGAAGATCCACAACTAAGAAAAGAGTAGAGCCCGGCCGGTGCAGCGGCTCACACCTGTAATCCCAGCACTTTGGGAGACCAAGGTGGGCAGATCGTGAGGTCAGGAGTTCAAGACTAGCCTGACCAACATGGTGAAACCCCATCTTTACTAAAAATACAAAAATTACCCAGGTGTAGTGGCACACGCTTGTAGTCTCAGCTACACGGGAAGCTAAGGCAGGAGAATCACTTGAACCTGGGAGGCAGAGGTTGCAGTGAGTCAAGATCGTGCCACTGCACTCCAGTTTGGGTGACAGAAAAAGTAGAGCCAGAATTAGAACCCAGGGAGACTGGATTCAAAGGCTGTACTCTCTCCTACCACCAGCATTGCCATTGGTACATGCAGACTAAGAGGTCCAGTCCACTATTTGCTGAACAGTTTTTAATAACATTTTATTCAGTTTACTAGCATTCAATTTTTATTTTTTAAACTTATACCTCCACCATGGATACTGAAAAATATTGTTATTTCACATATTTCTGGCCAACTCAATCTTTCACTTATACTAACAAGTCTTGAACTTCTTTATGAAATAAAAAGTTTGAAGATTTATCAGTTGTCCTCAGACAGCTCAAAAGTATGTTTAAATAAAAATTATGCAGACTTCTGTATTACAGTTGTTCACCTTTGCCCATTCATCACCTGGAGAAAGCTTGCTGGATAATGAAACGCTTTACTGATAGGATTTTGCAGCTCCCAAAAATCCACTCTTCCAGAAGAATTTCTATGGCCATTTCTAGTGGAAATAGTTGAGATTTTACATATTCCAGACTTCAGAGCCCCGTATGTGTGGTCTCTGATCTATCATTCTCTTCCATGAGAAGGAGCACATACGCTCCCTGCATTTCTTAATCTTCTGTCAAGGTTTCTCCATTCGTCTTTCCCGCCATGAGTTTTTCCTCCTCCTTTCAGCTTCAAGTCCTTAGTCAACAATAAAGCTTGCTTTGCCGAACTCTTGATTCCTATTGAACTACTATAGCAAAGGAAAGATGTCTGAAATAATGTGAACTCAAACTTGGAATACAAATTTATAGAATTTTAACCTGCTTTGTAAACCTAGTAAAAGAACAGGTTTGTACTTCTTATTTTTATTTATTTATTTATTTATTTTTGCTGAATCTAGACATTTTTATGGGAGATTAAATCCTGAAGGCAAATCTGACTGTATTGTCACATAGACTTCGTAAATTGGAAAACTAAGGACAAATCCTGTGTATGTGAAATAATAAAGTTGAATGTTTTTACTTGACATCAGGAGCACGCAAAACAACATTATCTCCTGTTCACATCTACTTGTACCTTTCTTTAATTTCTCCTTAACACTTTTGTCCATGTTTTCTCCATTCCTTGAGAACTTAATACCTTTGTGTAGCAGAAATACTTGAGGAGGGTTTAGGTAATTCATTCTTGGCACTGCTAGAGGGAGGGGCTATAGTTGTAAAAAAGCAGCCGGAAAATGTCAGTACCTACACCATGGCCCCCAGCAATATGCACATCTCTGCAGGAAAAACCAAAAGTCATACTCAGGGTTTTGGCAGTGGGCATATTTTTGTTACGATAACTTCGCTTTCAGCAGAAACAGTTCAGGCCAGCTACTCCAGCGAAGACTGAGAATCTGTGCTCTTCGGTAGCATTAATCTTTCAACCCTACAAGGTTTCTTAGGCAGGGTCAAAGCAATTCTTATTCTACAGGCACTTACTCACAACCACACAGTAGCATATGAAAAGTAGTGGAGTGTCTTGCACGTATCTCTCCACTCTCCCCTGGACTTGGCTGCTTGTTTCTTTGTGGTCCCACTGAAACTGCAGAGATATTTATCACAGGACCTATGTTGCTTGAATGCCATTTCCTATATCCATGTCTCTTTTCCCCTTCTTCCTGGCCTTTGTATCTTCTATCAGCAGCACCTAGCACAGTGCCTGGCTCATGGTAAATAATTAATATTTGTTGAACAAAAACTCTGGAGTGAGAAAGCAATGAATTAGGTCGTTGAGCTGAGTAGTAAATATGGAGTGGTAGATTGTTTGCAAGATGCAGTACCTGGCAGTCCCAGGGCATTTTCAGGCAGGGGGAAAGGGATTGCCAGAAGCATGGAGGTGGGAACAAGCTGCTCTGGGAAGAATGGCAGCGGGACTATCCTCACTTGCTCGTTTTGGACAATAAAGAGAGGTAAGTTTGGACATACACCAAAGACTTAGAGACAGTTGATAGAAACTCCTAAAAGTTATGTTTTAAGAATTTATATTTTATTTAATAAGCAGTAGTGAGACTCTGTATTTATTTGGTCTGGACAATAAATGGTCAAAATAATATTTTAAAGAATTACTCAGATTAGTATATGCTTATATCAAAATTCGTACGTATGAAACATCAGGTTCTGAGAAATTGACTTGGGTTTGTGTATCGTCAGTTGATCTTAAGGTCTCTTTCTGTTTTCATCCCACAGGTTGTTATTTTGTACTTTGAGCCAAGCACATTTCGCTGTATTCTCCTCAGATGGGTCCGTCTTCTCGGTTTTGCTACTGTTTATGGAACTGTGACTCTCAAACTTCACAGGTATGTACATTTTATTTATCTTCGTTCTCATGGAAGGATCAAAGTGATTGGCTTAGCACCTAATTGTTAGCTGGGCTAATCACCTAAATGGCTCAATTTCAAGAACTTAGATAGCAAGATACTATGTATTTTTCACTTTCAAGGTGATGACATCTTTTGGATTCTTTGGGGAAATCTTTAATAGAACTGAATTATTTTAAAAAGATGCTTCAATGAAATGTGGTATTGGTTATGGAAAGGGTTAGTTCCTATTAAACAATAAGTTTAAAATGTGAAACAGTATTTACTAGTTCAGAACAGGAAGGAATACAAAGGTGATAGAGCTGAAATAATGATACATATCCAGTGACCATAGAATCCCATACAGAAACACCCTTAATTGACAAAAGCTACTGTCCTCCATTCCCAAGTTCCATGCCCCAAGGTAAACCTGCTGATATTCGATGGGTGAAGTTCAGAAAATAGTGCTTTCGGCTTTCCTGCTTAACCAGTGCGATTCAGTGATTATCAGCCTCGGAAAATGGAGAATGCTCTAAGTTCCCTTATACTTAGTTCCAAAACTACCTAAACATTGGGGAAGAAAAAAAGCAGTAAACTATCTATCTCCAAAGGCTGGGGATGGCTGGAAATGGTTCCAGGCTTTTCCCTTGCCTCCTTTTTCTAAATTTAAAGAAAGTCTCAATGAAGTGCTGCCAAAGGGCTTGGGAGATAAACAATAAATTTTCCCTGCAGGGTAAAACTGTAGCCCTATGAAGAAAACTCTTCGCACTGATCAGCTTTAAAGCTGTTTTGATAACCACGGTAAGCCATTTACAGGTTCATCCTAGTTTGGCCATACATTTTTCTGAATAAAAATCTCCTACTATGGGTCATACAGTGGTTTATCTCAGGTGCCATAATATGTATTATCTCTATCTTTAAATGTCCTCCTTTTCAACTTTTCTAAAAAATGTGATAATTACACTATCTATCACATAAGAATTTTTATTTTCATTTTTTTCTCTTTTGGTTCTTACTGAGAATGCTCTAGATTATCCTTTTATCTTTTTTGAAAAAAATGGGAATGTGTTTGACTTCCAAGATTTCCTTCTTATATATGTGGTAAAGTACAAAGGATATTGGATTAGGTTTCAAGAGATCCTATTTAAATCCCAGTTTAGCCTCTAACTCTAATAAATCATAGGCTTCTGTTTCCTACAAAAGGAGAGACAAGACCAGTCTCTAATGTTCTCTCTGACTCTCACTGTATTCCGTTCACATCCCAGAACACTTTGCTTTGGCATCCTTCTTTCTTCAACTACCTTCCAGGTCTCCATTTCTCATGTGATAGCTGTTTTCAAACTGGTGCTCACTAAAGGAAATGAGAAATCAATGACAACCCATGTGGACAAAAAGCCTTCTAGAAATCCTGAAAGAATAGATGCCCTTGTCAAGACTTGAAGATGAACTCTGTCCCTGTTGGTCTAGCGCTTAGTGTCTAGTGGGTCCTCTATTATAATACTTATGGTGCCTTAGAGTTTTCTTATTTAATTCTCCTCTTCACTTTCATTTACCTTCTTCTTTGAAGTAAGAATTATAGCATTGGCCGGGCGCGGTGGCTCAAGCCTGTAATCCCAGCACTTTGGGAGGCCGAGGAGGGTGGATCACGAGGTCGAGAGATCGAGACCATCCTGGTCAACATGGTGAAACCCCGTCTCTACTAAAAATACAAAAAATTAGCTGGGCGTGGTGGCGCGTGCCTGTAATCCCAGCTACTCAGGAGTCTGAGGCAGGAGAATTGCCTGAACCCAGGAGGCAGAGGTTGCGGTGAGCCGAGATCGCGCCATTGCACTCCAGCCTGGGTAACAAGAGCGAAACTCCGTCTCAAAAAAAAATAAAGAATTATAGCATTATGGAATCCCCAGCACTCAACACAAATGACTGACCCAGGGGACATTTAATATATATTAGTAGATGAATTAATGAATGAAAATGTCAGATGCAGCCCTGGAAGCTGCTTCCCGTCATTCTTTTCACACATAACCCACCGATAGTCCCCTGACTCACTGTGCTCTCCCTCAGCATGTCTCCCAGCGTCTGGAACACATAACACCGTGGTCTGCGAGAGGATGTTTAGGGGGATGTGAACCCAGTGGTCAGTAGTACTAAATCATTTAATGAGAAAATTACTTCCATTCAGTTTCTCCCTCAATCCTTATTTTCAGGAGAAAGATTAGTTGAGAACTAGTAAGTCTTTACCATTTGCTGAACAGTTGCTAATCTTCCTTTGCACTGAAGAGCAGATCGGGCTTCAATTTTCAGAGCTTTTCACTGAAATACTGTAAGATTCATTATCTTTGTTTCATAGCATTTATTTTTATAGTTACTTTCTATTTTTGGAAAGTATTATCTATCACTAGATAGTGATAAGGTAGTGATATAAAACTTCCTTTAAAGATTTTTAAACAATAAATGTAAAGTAATTTAAAGAAATTATTAGCTGATGCACAGATACAACAGAAATCTTGACATTAGTATGCAAATAATTGGAATTTGGGAAACTGTGTTATAACATTATCTCTTTTGTTTATTTTAAAAAACAAAATTCAAACAATTTTCCGTCTGGCTTTGTCTCTCTAGAAGTCATTGCAGTGAAGAGTTTCTCCACCAAAGGCTTAAATTGAAACTATTTCTAATGTAATGAGCTGAATCATTCTTATCCTCTGTGAACCATATGGCTTTACTATTATATTCTTTTTTTTCCTATATGGCTTAAATTTAACTGTTACCAACATTGTTTACATCTATAAACGAAAAATCAGCATCCCAAAGAAATGTGAATAACCTAAAGGAAGGACTAGCTGAACCAGCTTTGCGCTCCCCAGATTTAATACTGTATTTTTCCTGTATTATGTTATCGAGATATTTGTTGAATGAGTGAATGGATGGATGATTCTAATGAATGGAGCTGCAAAGGGTGGTTTTGGCGGGCGTCACCTAGAGTCAAGAAACACGTGACCCCGAGAAAGGAACTTCTAAGCTTCTGTGGTGATGTGATAGAGAGGCAAGACCTAAATCCTGACAATTCCAAATTGGAACTTCAATTCTGCCAATACTTATTTAAACAACAAAGAATAAATAACATCTGAGAATTAGTTTTCTCATCTGTAAGATGGTTTAATATCTCATCTGTAAGAGGGTTTAAAGTTTAATAAGTTTAAGATGATAAAGTTGTAGGGACTGAGTATAATTTGAATGTGTGTAAATATGTCAAATAGGTTTTTTTGCTTGCAAACAAAATGGATTATGGCACTTGGCACAGATCCAAATGGATTTGGTTATTGGTTATTGCTTTGGTTGCACAGAAATGAATTATGGCTAAATTAAGTAAAAAGGGGATTCATTGGAAGAATAGGGAGAATGCCACACATTGAAGGAAAAGCTAAAGAACCAGGATTTGGAAGGAGCTGATCAAGGGTAGCTTGAGGGATCAAAGTAGCCCAAGCTAAGGGACAAAGCCTTTTGAATCCCATAGCTCCATTTTTATAGGAATTCCACTTTCCATTTCAAGGTTTTAAAAAAAATTAAAAGTAAACCATACCTCTCTAGGCAAAAATTCTAAGGAAATTATGAGTACTAATTTATGAAATGACTGTTTATAGTCACTTGAGGATAAGATAGGAAAGAAATATCTGAGTTTTCATTTATTTCAGTCATTTCCCTTCTGGCTAACTGGAATTATTAGATACTTCTTTCTGTATCACCTGGGTCTCTCACTAATTGATTGTAGTATTTATAGAATTCCTGTAGCATGGAAAACTTGAAACAAACATGAAGGAGGAACAGGATCACACTCTGTCACCAAAAATGAAAATAAATATTATTTTATAATATTTATATTATAAAATAATATAAATAAATATTTTCATTTAGTAAATAGTATTAGTCTGGGATGAGAAAATAAAGGCTTTGTTCACTTATACCAGATATTCCACTTCTTTCTATGGTGGTCTCTCTCCACATTTGAGAATCATATGGCCAAAGACTACCATGATAATCTAAAGGGAAATTATAAAAGGGTCCCTTGTTAACAGAGAAACACAGTTGCATCAAGTTGGGGTTGGGGTTTAAGTGGCCTGTCCCTTTAGAAAGGCGCATTTTGTTTTTTATCACTGACATTGTTTAGAATCAGCAGCATATGGTGATTATAAAAAGACCAAGGGTTTTTTTGTTTGGCTGGTTTATTTTTTGAGATGGAGTTTTGCTCTTGTTGCCCAGGCTGGAGTGCAATGGCAGTATCTCAGCTGACTGCAACCTCTGCCTCCCAGGTTCACACAGTTCTCCTGCCTCAGCCTCCCAAGTAGCTGGGATTATAGATACCCGCCACCATGCCTGGCTAATTTTTTGTATTTTTAGTAGAGACGGGGGGCGGGTTCACTATGTTGGCCTGGCTGGTCTTGAACTCTTGACCTCAGGTGATCCACCTACCATGACCAACTTTTAGTTGTCTTCATTATTGCCCTAAATTCTCCACAAACATTTGAGAGAACGTCCCCTTGTTGCCTACACCCAAGGCAGACCACTGACATAGCCCCACCTCACTGGTAAGCCATTCATGTGATCATTTATTTGAAGCTGCAACTGTTTGAAAGAGAGGGAGGGAGGGAAGGGAGTGAGAGGGGGAGGAAGGAAGAGAGGCAGAGAGAGAAAGCAAGAAAGAGGGAGGAGGAAGGGAGGGAAAGAAAGGGAGACAGGGAGGGAGAGGGACGGAGAGAGGGAAGGAAAGGTACAGCTTTTAGCTAGGTCAGTATGGATCATAAGGGAAAAAAGAGCTGAAGTAGGCAAAAACAATGAACATTTATTTACAAAAAAGGAACTTCCTTCAGGAACCTTGGATGTGTTTGACTTAGTACATAGTGATGCAGGGCAGATCCAAAAGCACAGCTAGCACTCCCATGAAATGTAGGTTCAGAGAACCCCTGCTAAGCAATCTGCTTTTACAAAAACTTGAGAAGGCAGTA